TGCGATCGGATCCTTGCGGTTGAGGTCCAGGGGTGCACACTGCGATCCAGAGCTTGCCAGACAAGATCGGCGAAGCAGATTAGCGAAGCAGATTGGCGAAGAAGATTGGCGATGAAGAGTGGCGATGAAGATTGGCGAGGAAGGAAGCAAGGAGGAAGGAAGGAAGGAGGAAGGAAGGAAGGAGGAAGAACAACTGTCATAAAATCTAACAACCCTCACCTGGCAGGTGGGGAAAAAGATAAAGACCCGTCCGGCACGAACCTTGCAGCCAGCAATTTGGACACTTCGCTCGTCCAAGAAGCCAAGTGCACACTACTCTTGGGTCGGGCCAGGTAGAGGGCGCAGAATTCGCTGCCTAAGTCCGGAAAAATCTCATGAATCCTCATGAGTCCAGGTGTCTTTAGAGCTAAGTAGCATGGAGGAATCTGGAGCGTGTCACTGTAAACAAGGTGGTTTTCCGGCATTCTGCAACTGATGTCTAAATATACACCCGACAAATTACAGCAGCAGTGATGATGGTCAACAATGAGGAACCTTCTCAAATTCATGTATGTTGTGAGAAGTTGAATTACTTTCACCAAAATAATTGATCTGCAACATGAGCAGAAACGTCACCTGTGTTTTTTTCAAGTCACCTGCACTATGGCCACTATGGACGCAGGAATTTTCAGAGTGAGATGCTTCGTGAAAGCAACATCAAAACACTGGGAATGTAAGTGCCACAAGTCAGTCTGTGGAGAGGGTGCGATAAAAAAGAGAAGCATTGTGAAACTCTGAGGATCTCTGATGACTTCGCCTGGTTCTCTGATGATCTCTGATTTGATACTCTCTGACGTGATACACGAGACGATTGCCCAGCAGCACTGGTGGTAAACCATCTGGCTGATGCGGCCTTTGCCTTTGCTCTTCCGCTGGATGCCGGACAAGTTCTGGATCCTGATGCCGGACAACACAGGGAACCTCACATGAACAAATGAAGCTCGCAACCCGCCCCCAAAACGAGGATCCCTCCAACAGTCGATCATCCGCGGTCCCACCTCTTGTGAAGGCCTTCAGTCACAAAACGGACTCTTTGTATATATATATATATATATAGACCCTGGGAATCAAACGACGCCAGAAAACTTAGTCACACAAAACGTCGAAGCTTAACTTAGTCATAACAAACTGATCATGTTTAACTTGCCTTCACGCCCGTTCACGCCAACCACGGTGTGAGTGTTTTTGACATTCTTAAGCAACCCTGTCCAAACCCACAAAAACCACTCCCCAAGAAGTGGCTCCATCAATGCCAAGTCTTTTGTCCATATGTTCAGTGGAATTCATTCAGACATTGGCCAGTTCGTCGATTGAGCCAATCACGCCGATCACGGTCAGATTACGCTGTCTTCCAGAACGACGAAGTTTAACCAAGTTAAACTTAGACACCATCCTCGCCCAAAGCTTTGATCTGTATATATATATATATATCCAGGTCCATATCCATTTATATATGCCCTCTGGAGCTAGAACTGCCTCCAGCCGGCCTCCCGCGTTTTTGGTTCCTCCGTCTGACCCGGCCTCTTCGAACCTGCGACCGGAGACCGCGGACGGTGACACCGGTCTCGGGTGGGTTCGGCTCGGTATCTCCAAGGGACACTTCCTGGATCCAGTGCGAGGCGCCGTTGGCCTCGGCCGTGGGGAAGGTCTGGAACGGTGGGGGGTGGAAGGCCGTTAGCATGCGGCCAAGTGGTTCCTCCCCAAATGGACCGGGAGATTTTGCTGTTGGGACGTTGGGAAATCCTGCAACATGGGACATGGCTGTGGTTGTTCCGATAAAGGAGTGCTGCAGGGGAATCCTCGTGATGGCTAGCAACTAGTAGGGACCGCCATTCCAAAGAGAGTCACATGTTTGTCTCCTACAGTACTGATCAGTACTGGATAGAGCAGAGATCGGCGACTCTGCTGAGGCTTGAACGCCAGACATCTCCGCCAGGAACCGGAGGTTTTGTGCGTTACACAGGAATATGGGGTGCGACTCTCAATAAACCTCAATACCTCCACCTGGTGGGTTTGCCCCAGAAGGTGAGTGGTGACTTGAGACAGTTTTGTATATATGGCAGGTCAAATTTGCTGCAAAGGAGCGTCAGAGAAAGAAACCCATCTGTTCGCGAGGAAGAGGGAAGCATCATCCCAAGGTAATGCAACATGTCAGTTCTCCCGCCTCATCCCACCTCTACACCTTTGCTGCCCAGCCAAATCACCATCCCCTCCGTTCGTTTGACCCACGTGTTTCATCGCCTGGACCTCCACGTCTCCATGCGGTGGAGCATAGGCTCCAGGGCAGGACAGTTGGACCTCCGGAGATGACGAACAAGCGGGAAGTCCTCTGACGAGAACGGGTTGGACCACCGGATAGCAGCTATAGAGCTGGAAACTCCACCGGGTTGGACCACCGGGTTGGACCACCGAGGCCGAGGGTTTTTTCCAGCTCCCAGGAGGGTTTTTCCAGCTCCCAGGAGGGTTTCCAGCTCGCAGGAGGGTTTTTCCAGCTCGCACGAGGGTGGGAAGCCTCTTTCGTGCAGACATCGATCCTGAAGTGCTGTTCCTGTAGGAAGAAGTGCTGCTTCTGTAGCTTCTTGTCTTGTCTTGATACAGACTTCCAAAAAAATGTCATCCAGTCATCCACAATCAATTATTTCTATTTTTAGGAACAAAAATCAGGTCAAGTTCAAGAACCCCTACACTTCAAACCCAATCTTTTTGGGCTTCCAGCCCAAAAGCCCATTTCCCACGATCGTCTAACACCGCTCCAGCTATTCTCCCACCTCGCGTACCAGCTGAAGCCCAGCACTGTCTGCTTCGATGCTGTGCTGGGTAAGAACTGGACTCACCTCCTGAAAAGCAGCAGTCGGTATCTTCCAAAGGGCTATGAACCAAGAAACGCTTGGATCAACAGTAATTATATATATATATATCGGTCATGTATGATCAAATCATATAGTTGAATGTATAGTTGTTGCTTTGTGGAGCGGACTCAAAAAATACAAGAGCCTGGTGTGCTTTGCCGCGATTGAAATATGTCTGCTGTATCCGTCCAAACACACTTGTTATATCCCATGTGTGGAGGGGGATCTGTACAATATATCAATCGTCACAACTTCACCTGTTTCCTCAACATGTGTTTGTTTTTTACCCCAAACCCGTGAAGCTGATGGATGCATATCCTCAACAGTGTTGACAAGCAAGGACGACGACAACCTGCCGCAGCTCAGTTCCGTAAACGATCATTCTTGATTAAAACCTTGCCACCTTCTTTATCATCCAAGTTGGTCTCAATAAAGCAGGTTGATTCTCTGTCACGCCACAGACTGTCCGCGGCAGAAGGAAAATACATGGGCCAACATTCGTCTTGTACTTTAGGTATATACCCCGAGTAATTCAAGTACAGCAACAAATATTCATGCAACATGCTTGCCTGTACTTATATATAATAACAACTAAGTCTTAATCGCGATCCACATACTTTCACATATGTTCTCCGGTCTCCAGTCCTCTCGGCACTCGCCACTCTTTTCTTCGTCCGCCACGGGTAGCAGTTGCAGGTTGATGATCGGCATCGCTGAGGTGGCTGGCCACAAGCCCAAGCGCTCCTGAGGTCAGTGGCTTTCAGTCAGCTCCGTCGTCCCAGCTCCGTCGTCCCAGCTCCCTGGGTGAACCACGGAGCGCGCACCAGCGCCTTGTTCACCAACGCGGGGCACCTGTGCCCTTTCATCGTCCAAGACTCCAACTCGTCCAAGAGCGGCTGGTCATTCTGCAGGATGTCGCCCTCCGTTTGGGCCAAGACCACCTCCAAACAGCGGCGACGTCAAGACCGTGCGTGCGTGCGCTCCGGACCGAGCCCAAAGAGACCGCTAAGAAGACTCGAAGCCCGGAGACGTCGTGTGACGGAGCCCACCGACCTGACACGACAGCCATCCGTTTTTTGCATAACGCCCGGATCATCCCCACCATCCACCAGCCATCCCCACCATCCCCACCTCCCCTAGACCTGGTGGCAGAAGATTCTCCAGTCGTCTCAGCATCTCCTCCACCGTCGTCTTCGCATCGCGAGGTGCATCGAGGATCACCGGTCGTGCACGGCGCTGCGCCAAGCGTTGGGAGGGCGTGAGCCGGAGTCGAAACTGACGTTGGGTGTCTGCCTCAAGAGGTCGAGGACAGGCGGCTCAAAGGATTAGGATATCAGATAGACCTATATATATAATGATCTATGTATGTAATATAACATATATATATATATACACAACAATAATATACAGTATATATTATACACCAGGACCCTTCAAGAGGTAATTCGTTGAGGGTTGGGAAGGGTAAATGTGGTCTCACTTGGTGACCTGTTTATCGTTTCTTGTCAAGTGGTATTTCTAACATTCAGGTCCAGAAGTCCACTGAGGTCCAGAAGTCCACTGCTTCACGGTGAGACCGGACCGTGCTGCTGTGTCGTTTTCGGACAGCTTGAAAGCTGGGTGACAAGGTGGTCTGGTCCCACAAGGTCGCATCGAGCCTGAGCCTCGGCTGCATCGATGGTCTCAAAGCCCTCCAAGGCCCAGAAGCGGAAGGTGAGATTCGTGCGTTCGCGGTGGATACCTGAGAAAATTGGCCCTTCGCTGCCTCGAACATCCGTTCTAGACTCTAGACCCAAATTCATGTCACTTGAAAACAGCTGGCAATCCACTGGTCATGGATTGTGATGGTCCCTTCTTGTGTCGTCTACTACATCATCCTCACGACACACGCCTCACACCGGGTCCAGTTCGGCCGACCGGTCGCCCGACCGCCTCGCATCGGACGGTCCACGGTCCGTTCTGGGCGTCCTCAAACGTCCTCCGTTCGGAAGCGGCGCCCGAAGCTCTGTGAGCACCCGGAGCTCTGGGATGTGATTGGCTTGTGTTGGAATCAAACACGACGATGACAGTTGATATACAACTTCAATTTACCATACTTGGGACCTGAAAAAAGACTCCAAGTCTGTAAATACAATCCAATACATATCCCGTATCACTTTTTTGTTCCAGAGTGAACCCTCTGCAAAAAAGAAACAGCAAAGAAAGGTCATGGCACGCTGGTGAACCATGATGTTCATCCCCACATGGCCGCTTTCGATGCAATCCCAAGCACTCCATGGGACTGGATTGTATGATACATTGACCCCAGGTCAACCACCCCAGTGTATGTAAATATGCCAGTCCCAGACAGGTAGAGTCTTGGAATAAACCGCAGGACTTCAAGTCCTTGAATCACTCCGATCTCTGAAGGAGAATGTGGGCAATTTCCACGGCCGTTCGAACGGCTTTGCGCAGCAGCCAAATTGAGGGACCCCATCTTTTTAACAGTTTGGAACACCATTGCTTTCAAACACTGGAGCTCCGTAGTCTTTTTTTCTGAGGTGGTGGTCATCGTAGAATCTCTGCAAACATCGTTTTTTTGTTCTTTCTGTGACCCTTCATCTGCCAAGCTGCCCTCCATGGCCGGGACGGCATGCAACCAGTGGCGCTGGGAGTTCTTACCTGGGGAAGGGGAACAAGCCCATCAACACTGCGCCTCACAAATGAACATGGCATGTTCCCTACCAAGACCATCCATGCATGGAACATATGCCAGTATTGACCCCTGCAACCACCCCAATGTAGGTAAATAGGCCAGTCCCATGGATGGTCGCTGCTAGGAAAACGATGTTCCGAACAACAAACTTTTGGCGATTCTCACTCCACCGGATGAACATGAAATAGTCAGAGTATCGATTGCTTCTTCTGAGCGCAACTGAGGCACACCAGTCTCAATGACTGTGGGGGTTGGCACGCATTTTTTGTCAACAGTGAGAATCCTTGCGGTACAATATCTGTCTTCCATCAAGCGTACCGTATCTATCAAACAGGGCATCTGCTGCCCTTAGGTTCCCTTATGATCGCTTTTCAAGCATTGATCCTATAGCAGTGTCATTAGTATCATTAGCATTCATTAGCAGTGTATAGCAGTGTCAACACGTCAGCGTTCGGAATCACTCCGGGCAAACATCGCACACCGTCTATGATGAAATGTTTCTGTTCAAGTTGTCTATGTATCGCAATATAAAATGCGTATTAGCCTATAGCCGTGCTCAGCTTTGCTCCGTCCATCCCGATTCAGGCTTGCAACTCACAACTGCAAAATCCATGTTTCGCAGCTGTTAGCTTTGTGCACGCGGGAAAAAATGAAACACTGCAGTGTAAAGAAAAGAACCGCTTCACGCAGAAGGAAGCTGCACCAAGTGGCCCATCACGCAGAGGGAGCCGTGAAACAGGGGCAGGGTGATGTGGATGATGTTGTTGCTGTGGAACATGGATCCATCGTTCGCTTTGCGAAGCCCTCGCCATTCCCGCTTGCTCTTGAACCTCGGCGTAGATTCGTCTGGCGAAGCAGCACTGGGACCGAGAAAAGCCAAATCAACAGGCCAACGCTTAGAACTCAGTCGACAGAACTCGTAAAGCCAGTTTTCAAGGCTCCAGGCAGGTACCACCGCGGACATCGAACTGATGGCTTTGGGCATAATGAAAGCTACAGTAAATCAATATATAGATCTGTCTAATGAATATGAATATGCGCTAAATTCATTTCACATTTGTACCCTGACCCTCCCTGACCCAATCCCTATCATGACCTAACGCAAAAAGAAACTTAAGAAGGACAAGCTCCGCTCCGCGCATCTCCCCGCGCATCCGCGCGCATCCGCGCATGCGCCTCCCTCGGCGGCCGACTTCGGCACCACGACGCCCTTCGAGTGAACCGAGCGGCGCAAAGTCCCGGGTGGCGCCCAGGGAGAGTGAAGCGATGATGGGATCAGGGCCCAGACCCTCGTTGCCATCGCTGTGCCAATGGATGGTGACCGTGCCATCGCGGTAGTGGTTGAACCAAATCGCGTTGAAGACCTGGGGTCACTGGGGTCACGGTGCGGTGGGAGTGTTGGGGTGGGAGTCATAGGGGTCGTGAGTCGGATTGAAGGAAAGCAAAACTTGACAAATAAGAGTGGCCGTGTGACATTTGGTAGGCACACGAGGTTGTTTGGACTGGTCTGCCAAGTATAATGAGTACAAGGTGTGCTTTGTTTAGATTCAATCATCTGATATGACCCAGATGAGTGGCACATCATACGGAGTAGGACGTCCAAAGAACACACACCTGGGACAGTGTTCTTTTCAGAACTTGGGGCCCATCAATTGACATTCAATTAGTGCCAATCAATAGCACTTTCTACCTGAAACCCAAGCCGGCGTACTTGTTGCAACCCAGAGATGGGTTTGGCAGATTAAAGATGGGAGAGCGGGCTGCCAAGCCATTCCATGCAATGGATATGTTGGGAACAAGTCTGGCCCAAGACATGTGCAAGTTCTTGCTCTCCATGCCCCAATGAACACCCGTTTCGCTGCCGGCTTTCTCGCCAAAGGAGCACTCTCGCTGGCATGTTCCACGCGGTGCATCAGCGCTCGAGACCAGGAGTCCATCTTCTCCGAGACATACAATTGGGACTTGTCCCGGGAGTTGTCCTTTGCGCTGTGCGCTTTGTTCTGCGCGTGTTGTTCGGAACCTGCACGTGTCATACTCAAACAGTATTGATGTGCCTCTAGACAATATGCAAAGACGTGAGGTAATTGTGGCCGCACTACTATTCTATGTACAACATGTATACTAATGTAGTGCCACGGAAGGCCTCTGTAGTCCTCAAGAATGTAATCAAGTGTGTCAAGGTCCGTGTGACACATGAAAATCATAACCTCTTGCTTGCCACATCTATAATCTAATCTAATCTAATCTATCTATCTATCTATCTATCTATCTATCTATCTATCTTATCTTATCTTATCTTATCTTATCTTATCTTATCGTATCTTATCTTATCTTATCTTATCGTATCTTATCTTATCTTATCTTATCTATCTATCTATCTATTTATCTATCTATCTATCTATCTATCTATCTATATGTCCCTAAAAACATATATACTTATGTGACATACGTGTATATCTAAAAAAAAACTTTGAAACAACACAGATCATACAGAGTCTTCCTCGTAAACAATGCGCTATGAAAACCCAAAGTCATCGTCTTCCGCCAAGCATCGTATTGTATGCCGAAGTTGAAGTCATCACCTTCGACCGATCATGACCGGCCGAAGATCTGAACGTCTGGCTAGCTACTATGCATCGGCGGAACGAGAAGGGAAGCATAGCTATATGCATAGTGGTGCTGTTGATATCCTGAAAACCAGTGGCACTCTTCTCAAGTAGACAATGGTGGACTCGGGAGTATTGCTTATGTTCTGCTTCCGTACCTTTAGTGGTTTAATGTGGTTTACTTAGGCTTGGCAACCGCCATCAGTGTTATAAAGTATAACTAAGAGGCATAGTCCGGCCAAAGGTTTCCTGTTTACTCCGATGGATAGAGGATTCTTGCTGGTGATGATGGAGAATCCTTCTGAAGTGATTCACATTGAGACATGTTGAGCCTGATCCAGAGTTCCTTACAAGAATGGAATGTCATGTTGCTTTCCCAACGGTTTCCTCATCTTGGAACACTTGTGGATACCCTATTGGTCGATGCAACACAAGAAACAATCAAGTAGTGTAGTGAAGTGAAGTACTAGGGGGAGAGTGTCTCAAATATATGCGAGGGGCAAAACAATGAATGGCTGTAGGTCAAAGCTGTGAAAGCTCCACAACCCTGGCTCAAAAGCCTCTCTGGTGGAGACCCAAGATAGCTCGTATTCCGGCCAACACTGGCCGAGTTTGTTGCTTGCTGAGTCGCAAATCCGCGCTTGACCCTTGCGGTTCACGGTCTCCTGTGTCACCCCGCTGGGGGTCTGGAAGAAGTAGGTCCTCGGCGACCAAGCTTTCATGGGGTCATGAGGTCATGGCCGGATCTTAGAGCGTATCCCGAACGGTGCACAACGGCGGTGCGGTGCAGCATCAAGGTTCAAAGTCTGCACCGAAAAGCATCCATCCATGTAATGTGCGTGCTGCGTGTAGTTTGCCCCGCATATTACCAACGCCCGGACGAAAAACAGAGGAAGCTCAAACGGTCTGCGGGTGTCTCTACGTGTTTCGACAGTGTTTTGTCGCAGTGAGAAAACCGACTGGTAGCGGCACATGTACAGCAAGACTTTTTCTGCTCAATTTTGGAGTGTTTCTGGGGCATGCGACTTTGACAGTCCATGTATGCACATGTACCTGAGCTTCACCAATCACCAAGGTTCGGATGATACATGGTGATCTTCTCTCCAATGGTCTCCTTTCGCAAGGCAAATATCCAACAACCCATGAGGGTATGGTTCCTTTGAATCCGGTATTCGCAGCAGCAGGGTAGTCGTAAAAGCACTCTACATCTAGAATAAGTGCCGAAAATCCTAAAACAAAATACAATTGCTGTAAGACCAACAGTTAAACAGTATAGAAACCCTAAAAAGACCGAACCAGTATATACATACCATGAAAGTGGGATCACATGATTTAGTGAAGAATTCTATTGATTGATCTTGTTTACCCTGGGCAAGTTATCTGCCAGGTTCCTAGCCAAAGATTGAAACTGCCCGAGGGTAAAGAATCTGCCAAAATCGACCCTGCGAGTTCGACTACGATCCTCTGGTACCCAGAGAGTCCCAGGGGTATCCTTTGACCTTTTCCTAGGGGTATCCTTTGCACATACTTAGACTTACTGGGTATATATTATATATATGACACGTCTAAGATTAAAAAATATCCCAGATGTTGAACTTGTTTGGCCCGTTCAAATGACAATGCCATACTTGCAAACGAGGTGTTCTGAGAATTCAACGACCCAGCGAACATCCAAAGCCACATAGTAATTCTCAGATCCTCGAGCTCATCTGCTTCAGTCCTCAGCGGAGACGATGACGGTGAAAACGAGAAGTAAAGCCCCTTCGATCAAGACCAATCTTTGAGAAGCTGTTGGTAACACGGACTCATCAACTCATTCCATTTGGTTGATCCGTCTAATTTAGTAGATCATTTTAGTAGATCAGAGTGGAGGGTAGCTCGTGGTTGTATTTTCACCCACCCATCTAGGAAGTTGTTCCCTGTGATGCAGGATAGACCCTGACGGCGTATATACAAGGGACGAACTCCCTGTTCTGTCACCCCACTTCTATGGCAGGATCATTAGATCACATGCGACCAAATTGGACACAAAATGGCAGGTATCTGGGCCACCCAACTCAGTAACGCAGTCGATGCTGTTTGAACACAGTGCGACCAAATCCCCAGGCTTTGTGAAGATTTACACCACAACAATCCGGTGTCGTTGTCAGTGGACACGATTGAGGGAACCCTCCAAGAAGTCTCTGTCAGAGATTTGCTCTGCTTCCATCTGCTTCCCCAAAAACACATCTCATTTCCTCAATCACCTGGCAAAACGGAACAGTTCCTGTCATCTGAGTGAAGATTACTGTAGCTGTTGCTTCTTCAAGCGAAGCGATGATCAGCTGGCAGGTCCCATCTGCAGTTTTGGAAAGGCTTGCGTGATCAACTGAAGCTATTCTATACTAGGTTGGCTGTTGATTAACAAACCTCTGTAAAATATGGGGGGGGTGTTTCTTTTAGAGTCAACATGCTGCATGCTATGTCCATGGTGTATAATAACATGTTTGTTGCTCAACCAGGGCGTCGAAGCATGGTTTTATTCGTCGTCCGTCCGTGCGGTGCGGTTGTGCTGTCTGGCTGGTCGACAACCGTTCGTCCAAAGCATCACCATCTCTTGTCTGTGGCAATTCTTACGTTTGATGCTGGCCAAAAGGAATGGTCATGGCCAAAGCAACCCTTTGGGATAAAGAATCTTCCTAGATGAAGGAAGCAAACTAAGACCAGATTAAAGTAATGTGAACCCTCTTCTTACTTTGATCTAGGTCGAAACGTCTTCTCAACCTCCTCAAACCCGTCCAAGATATCTGCAGTTCAAGAATCTCCGACATAAAGTGTGGATACCAAAGTAATTCAGTATCCCAGGGCAGCTTTAGCCGATAGGCCTTGCCATCTCGAAGCTTCTCTTCCTGGGCTCTGGCAGTGGCAGAGAAGAAGCTAGACCACGCTCTATACCAACACCTGAAGGCCTCCGAATTGAGCCTTTCACCAACGATAGTCAACCCACTTCTGTAAGTCCACCTGACTTAATGCAGAGACTGGAGCTGCAACTGGACTATGTGGTTTGCAATCCTGAGTGTGGAAACGCTGCCGTCCGGCATCTTGCCAATCTGCCAAATCCAAGAGTCCCAGTCGGAGGGTGAGGTTGATTCCCAACTCAGTACAGGAAGTGCCTTCGCCTCGCGCTGAAGCACCTGAGCGCCAGCTCGCGAACGCTGAAGGATCCAGTGATCCACAATTCACCACTGGCCATGCACTGGATGGGACGCCATGGGGGGAACCTTGATGTTTGTGGATCATCTGGAAATCCTTCACCAATGTTGACCCCAAATGATGTGCTTGACAAAGCTTGCACCAACTGGCTAGTCAGCTGCTCCTTCTCTTGTCACACCCAGCGGGGTAGAGCTCTCGTTCGAAGTGGCTCCACGTTTGATCAAACACCGCGGTCGCCTCGTCCGTCGTCCGGGCCTCTTCGATCTGCTTGGAGCGCCCACACCGCCACCTCGCAGACCCGCCTGGTCCGGCGAAAAGGGTTTTTTTCGGAGCGCGAACGCTTGGGGCTTGGGGATCAGTAGTCAACTGAGTATAGAGACCAATGGGAAGAAAAACACAGAGTATAGTTCAGAAATGTTCAGAATAGTAGTTGGAACCTGAGCAACCAGACACGTTTGGTACAAAGGACGCTGTCAAAGAGGTGAACATACACCAGGCTTCCAGGAATGAGGCTATACCCTCAGGTCATCCAGTAACATCCAAGAATGAACAACAGCTTTGAATTAGGGAGACCTCCCACTTTGACGAACTGAAGGTCCTGGCCCTGGCGACCCTGGTCTCTTCTTTACTCTTACTCAGTGGGCTGCTCGGCCGAAACTTTGAACAACACTTTGGCCAAACTCTGAAAGTGGTGCCGAAGGCTTTTTCCTAGGGTAAGCCGGCAACATCACCCTGCAACAAAACCAACACTAACATCCTGGATAAGACCATAGTTACAACAAAATAACTGAAAGAATTACAAGCCTAGACACACCCCATGGGACTAGCATGTTTATCTACATTGGTTGACCTGGGGTCAATGTAGGCATATTTTCCAGACATGGATGGTCTGGGATAGGGATCCCGTTCTGTTCAGAGCAAACCGTCCCTGCTCTGCCGAGCATCGCTCGCATCGTTTCTGCTTTTCGCGTGCCATGGAATCCTGAGCTGACGGTGATGGCATAGCCCCTTTGGATCAGGAAACTTGTCTTCTATAAAATATCTATATATATAGGGATTTTTGTCCATGCCTGGCCATAGCGAAGAACCCTTCGATGGTGTTTTTCCTGTTGCATCCCCGAACCGTTGCATCCGACATGCAGACTGGTGCGCACCCTGGGGACGTTCAGACGGAATGAGGGGACGTACCCTGTCGGACTGGTGCTCAGTTTCGACAGGTCTCTACACACGGTTGGCGTGCCAAGGACGCACAAGACCCACCACGCATAGTACAGGAGACTCTTGATCCTGAATCAAGTAATGGTATGTAGTGGTAGTGGTTGGGAGATTCCACATATGGTTGATGGGACGAACTTCCCACCCCACCACTTGCGGAACGACCCCTAGATCTGTGGTGGAAGATCTTCTTCGACACAGGAAGCAGGAAGCATGTGAAGGGGAACAGGAGCGGCGCTTCCTGCTTGAATCGATGAACCTGGTCTTGCTGGAGGTCCTGGTGAGAAATCACCCCCCATCAGTCTTCAGCATCCGTAGCCTGACCTGACCCTGACATTTTCAGCCGTATGAGGCGAACCAACCAATAGGAAAAAGAACCTAAGAGCGATGGCCTCCAACCTATATAATAGCGATGGCCTCCACCCTAGGCCCTAGTAGCGATGGCCTCCAACCTAATAGCAATGGCTTCCACCCTACTTGCGATGGCCTCCAACCTAATAGTGATGGCCTCCACCCTAGTTGCGATGGCCTCCAACGTACCACCCAATCTCCCTCTTTCCGTGACACCGACGCTTTTCGTGGCTTAGCGACGTTGAAGTACGTGACCCAACGACTGTAGAGGTTGCTCGCATCCACGTGGCTGAGCATCTTGATCTGTCCTGAGCGAATGGAGCGAAAACCTTCTCATCTTCCCTTTAGGGTTGCTCTTCTGACTGCCGGTGATAAGCACTTATGATTATGATCAAAAGTTGTGATTGGTGATTGTCTCACAGTTATGATGATTTTCATAACACATTTGATGAAAAGTTGACAAGACGACCCCGTGGTCAAGTTCAATGGTGCATCAGCAAGATTGTAGTCCTGGAAATCAAGTCAATGTGTCATATCGCATCCTTCAAACGTCACCCACGAGCGTACACCACTTAAACCATCACCTCATAGAGAGGATATGGATTCCAACATATTCCAACCTGGTGTGCCATGGTCAAATGGTGTGCCCTGCCGTTTTGTTCTTGCCTTTCCTGACCAGCTAGTTCAAGTCATGGAGTCCTCCCCGTCGTAGATCGATTGGCGTCGACTGATGAGCCACATCCACTTCAAGAACCAGACATTGATGGCGCTCTGTCCCCCCCCCCCACTCTTCCAATGGCGGTGCTCCCTTCGGTCGGCCCAACACCTCCGAAGCTCCGCTCCCGGGGCCCGCCGGGGCCCGCCCAGCCCGGTCCGCCGAGGCGCGATGGTCTTGCCACATCAAGTGCTGGATCGCGTGCCTACGCGCCGGATGGAGATCGGAGATCGAAGAGGTGAGAGGCCGGATTTTTGGTGGCCAGCAGTCCACGAGGTGGAAGATCAGGATGGACCAAACATCGAAATCGGAATTAGATGGGTGAGGTTGTGGATGCCATTCTGTTGGTCCAAACAGGAGGTGTTTGGAAAAACCTGGAAAAACCTTCGGTCTATCCGAGCCTATCCAAGGATTCCAGTAAGAGAAGATGTATTGTGGGTCGGGGGGGCTCTGATTCCCGTAGACCGCTACATACCGCTACTTAATGAACGGATACCTTCACATACCAACCCACCAACCCCAAACCGATTGGAATGTTCACATGCTTTCACATAGTGAGTGAGGTTTCTCACTTGGGAATGTTTGGGTCGGCACTTCTCGGCTTAAAAGGGTCAGCCCTGTGCCGCTCTTTGCTGTTCAGGAGCCCTGGAGGGAAAAGGTCACAGAGCTGCAAGCGATGGCATTTGTGCGGCTCGTGCATGTGCCCGAAGATACAAATCGCGCCCGGACACCTTGCAGAGTCGGGGGAGAAAGGCCAAAGAAATATCAGCTGCAGGTTTTATGGTGAACATGTGCTTCATGAAGAGACCCAGGAGAAGCAGCTAGCCACTGGCACCTTGGGCACACCGGGCACTCCGTACTTCTTATCTCGTTCTTCGTACGGCTGACCGCCATGCACACCGTGCAAATCGTTTCGCCAAGAGGTGCAGGATCCTTCACGATGGATCCAGTACATGTGGTGGCTCTGTGAAACCCCCCAAGTGGATCGAATGGCTCTGTGAAACCCCTCAGTGGATCGAAAAGAACCCGCCAGTTCACCAGTGGTTCACCGTAAACCGACCCGGTCTGACTATCTGGGACTACGTTCGGTTGGTCACGTGACCCGGTCACAGACCCCTCACGGCCGAAGTGTTAGTTCACCTGGTTCCGAGCGGGTTCTCAGGTGCTAAGACCTAAGTTCCTTGCAGCTGGAAGCTGGAGTCCGGCTTCGGGGGTCCGGCCCCAGGGATGCGGTCATCCCGGAACCATGATCCGTACCCATCAATTCCGGACCTGTCTGGGACTGGCATCGGTACATACCTTGGGGTGGGGTCACCTGGGGTGAATGAGGTGTATGTTGTTAAATACCCTAATTGCATGGAGTGTTCGGGTAATGTTGACAATCGGTTCATGAAGCCCCCCTCTCTCCTGGATGGTCGCCTCTCCAGGTTTGGGGGAAGCTTTGTTCATCGACGTTTTGCAGTTGACGAATGTGGATGGTCACCATCCATCACATTGCGTCACCATCCAATGTTCAAGAATGTACACACCTGTTTCTTTCCGCCGCTGCGGCACTGAGTCACGAAACGACTTCCAATCACTCGTTCTTCTACGTCGACACCGGGTCGATATATTTCCACCTCCACCGGCCAACAAGGGCGGCCTTTTGGGGAAAGACTCTCCACCGAGGGCTTTAAGGGGATTGTCAAACCACCAGCCAGCCACACACATACACACAAACCATCGCCAAAGCACGCAGAGGCCAGCAACCCCTTGATGCGGCACCGGAGCTCCTGCCGTGATCCAAACAGGCGAAACGGATGAAACGTATGACCATCAGATCGAACACATGCACCAGGATGAAAGCCGTTGCAGCAGGAAGACTCCTGTACCTGGAGCTTCCCAGTGACCTTGATAATCTTTATATAGATCCCCTGGTGCGTTCGGCCACTCAGAATAGGCCTGTAAAGGGTCACTTAGGGACTCCAAGCTGAGGCCACGAGCTTTCGGCCACACGCAGTGACACGCACAGCCATCATCTACTCGCCCTGGGGCTCTGGTGCGACCTGCGCATAGCACAGCCCTTCGTGTTCACCGAAGTGATGGGATGGTGGACTCTCACCCAGGCCGCTAGTCTATAACACCTAAAGTCTAGTCTATGTCTGGATCAGCAAGTGACCCACCCGTCTCCAATCCGGCCATCCGAACTCCGCCACTCCCAGCAAGTCCTCCACATCCTCCATCTGCTCTTCCCCTAACCGATCGCCCCACCACTCGTAGCCTGGGCACCAAGGGGAGGAGATCGATCAGGCAGATGGGTCAACCAACGATTCCGCGCGCGGAATCGTGCGGGCTCTTGCTGGGAATCGCGTTGGGACCCACTACGGGGAGAAAGCATGAGAAATCAACTCGGGGAGGGTGGTGCCTCAAGCAGACAGATCGGGACCAATGCTGTTCTCCGTCTGTCTTAGTGTCAATTGCACAACTGTTGATCCTGAGGTCATGAGTCAGATCAGCGATATTTGACAAGACATCGAGACAGCTTCCCACCCAAAACGAGTCAACCTTGCGTCTATCCTGCAGTAACAGTGTATGATGATGGTAAAGGCCCTGTTCAAGAATAGTCTGTTAATTGTTTACTGACTGCTACGATGTCTTCCAGCGACAGGCCCAAAACAATTGGAAGACATCGTAGCAGCTGACTGATCGTCTGTTTATTGTACGAACGCACAGACCCCAAACGAGTCCCACTAGGTCGAAGCGATGTCTTCCAACTTCCGAACGAAGAAAACGCCACGACGACTCCGATGCCAAGTCACGCACTCCGATGCTCAAGAGCGCTTTGGTGAAGTCTTTTCCTGCCGAAGAAAGAGAGAGATCCGAATTGGGTGAGATTTCAGCCAAAGGCTTGGAGGAATAGATGTTTGCTGTACTTTTTCATGAACATTCATGAACCATGTCTCACTCTTTTGTGATGTGATTCTCATCATCACCCACCGTCACATCCATGTCTCACTCTACCGTCACATCATGCCCCGGCGGCTTGGGAGGTCTGGAGGTCTGGAGGTCTCCGCTCCTTTGAAGAGTTGCTCTTCACGTCCGGCTTTGGGATTTCCACCTCAGGCGCCATCGTGGGTGTGTTGGCCAAGGGCACTGGCAAGGTTGGCCAAGGTTTGTGGCAAGCCTTCCTAGACCAAGTGAAAAATCAAGAGTGTATTGCTAATTGATAATTATGATACTTTTGACTCCAACATGGAGAACTTAACAGTTGTGAAGATTGCTGCTCCATTGGAACTGGCTCACTGGCTGCCTCTCTTCCTCCCTCCCTCATCCATGAGCAAGACTTACCATCGCTCACTCAAGCAAAACTGAAAAGAAAATAGCTCTGAAAAAGAAAGAAAAACAACTCATGTGACATGTGTCCTTTTTGAGGGCCAGCTGCAAATTAATGCACAAACAATCCACGGTGCTTTGATGTCCCTTGCAACAAGTCACTCCCTTTTGGAGAACAACCAAAAAGGATCTGTAACCTGAGCACCTGAGCAGATCCAAAGAAGACTGCTCCCGCACTGGACGCAACATACCTCACACACATACCTCCACAGTGCCACGCCCCGTTCTAAGCCAGGTGCGCACATCAACCAGGAGCTTCACATCTAGCGAGGAGAGCTGCCACAAATAGACCTGCTGGGGCTAGGCCGCACACGCCGGTCACGGTCGTCTGCCACCAGTCACGCACCGTCTCGACGTCTCGATGTTCTGCACATGCCATACAAGTGGTGTATCAATAGGGTATACATGGGTGTATACATCTTACACCACATGGGTATACCACATATTACGTGTATCATATTGATGGTTCCATATGGTTCCATATACCATGTGGTGTAATATGATATTATATGGAACCATAAATATGTATATTGGGTCTATCCTGATACCTGGGCCCAGTGGATGATGATGGTTAGGTTGCAGGCCTTGTTTAAAAGTAGTGATTTGCTTATTTACGGGTCCTGTTACAGGTAAGTTCGGATAGACCCCATGTGTATATATATATACCCTATAGGGCTCCAACCACCTTCTGAGGAGATGGTTGGGGTGGGTTTGGGGGGTCTAACCACCTTCTGAGGAGATGGTTGGAGCCCTAGGGATATATATATATATATGATGTTATATCATGTTGAATTCATTTGATATGCTCCATTGACCTCATCTGCTCCATGCCTGTGGAAACCAAACGACTCCCCACCCACCTCCCGGCTGACCCGCCAGGTGCCCAGGGTGTAGACCTGATCAAGTGGACCACCGGGGTGGTATAAGGAGAATGGTCCAATCGGGGTCAAACAGGTGTCTTTTCTAAAGTACCATCATGATGCTTCTGTTTTACCACTAGATCCTTCTGTTTTAGAATGGCATGGTTTAACCACCATCCTTCTGTTTGACCGGGCGTGGACCACTTTTTTGGGGGGGGTTGTTCTTCTGCTTCGATACTTTGTTGGATGTTGGAAGTTTAGCGATCTTTCCTTCGCGTTGATGTGTTATGTTGGGGGGGTTCTGCGGCGTGTTCGTCATAACATGCACTCTCATCACATTTATTGGATGAGACAACGATTCGTTCAGGTTTGTTGCGATTTCTTGTTCGGTTTGCTTTAAAGGGATTAGTTCATGCATATTTTACTAAGCTATTGTGAATCAATTGTGCTTATGAATTCCACTTCCCTATTCCATCCCACCATTATTCAATGGCACGCACGGATCTGTCTCAGACAAGTTAAGTTGTGTGTGTGTGCGTGTGTCACTTGGCTCATCCATTGCCATTGATAGTGGGGTTGGGCTTACAATCATAGGGAGGAAGTCTCCATCATGGCTGAGTTTCTCACCACAATCGATGATGATGTTTTTGTTTGTGAGGCGTTCGTTTTCATAATGGAAAACCTGAGAAGCAAACATATTATCAAACTGAAACATATCATTTATGTACACCTTCCCGTCCTTTCAACCTATAAAAATGTTATGCCAAGACAACATCGACTTCCTCATTGTCTGGTGAAGGCATAGGATGACATCTTACAAAATACATCTCTTATCTCTTCCTGTGATTCCTGTGTTTAAATGTTTCTCTGTCTCATTGGTGTCCATCCTCAATATCAATTTCAAAATCAACGCATGCACCTAAATGCCGCTATAGAAATAAGGGGCGGCAGTTGTGCTGAACCAACTGACCAACACGGTCATCAGTGTGTAATGGTTTTGTTATAGTTCTGTCATTCCTCTTCGTGTTTGTCTTCATCAAACAAAAATGTTCATGATTTTGTTTCACAGGGTCACGGTTGATTGCACCATACTCTGCGAACTGGCTTGATGACCAAAGCCTTTACTGGGAAAGGATAAATGGATACAAAACCACAATCAGGGGTTGTCTTTCGTAACGGTTTTCATTTGTTCTCTGTCCTCGTTTTCATCAACTGCTAATTCTTTCCAGTAACCCACTTCCTCTTACTGTACTAGCGCACTTGTTTAAGTCGATGGTTCCTCCTCTTCCAGTTCTCTGATGACTTTGTCGATTTCATCCATACCCATGGTCTTGCATTGGTTCTCTTACTCTTGCCCTTGTGTGTCTGATTGAAGCAGTTTCAAACTCGAGGACTGGCGCGTATTGCAAACACGTAGTGGAGTCAACTCAGGTTCAATAGTGGGGCACCCAACGGAAGAGAGCTAGTTGTTGAGGTTATGAACAGACTTTTGTATGAAGTTTCCTCTGTATATAAGCTTTTCGATTTAGTGGCAGGTGGGAGTATCGGCCTCGCTTGCAAAGATGCCAAAACTGCCGCCGAACCGGGGATTGCGACAATGAGATTCATAGATGCGCCAAAGATGGTCGGGTTTGTCTCGGATGATGTCTCCATTTCGGTGGGATTGGGTGTCATATGGTTGAGCCAGAGTTTAGAAACGCAATCTCCAAGTGTGCTCGAAACAATACCAAATTTTTCTGAGATGCTTCCAAAGGGATCGGGCTTTCGTTATGGAGATGATACGTAATTCAACAAAATTGCACCTGACTCTGACTAAACCAGCAGGCAACATGTTGAAAACTGGGAGGAACTCCTAAACCTATGCTCCACATCCAGCACCCAAACCAGAAATGCAACCTTTTTTCCCTACTTGTAAGCCCCTTTCTCACATCGGAAGTTACGTCGCGCTCCATCGGAAAACGCGGAGCTTCTTCCGCTCAGTTGGGGTTCTTCTGAGTGCTCCAACTTTGCGCACCTCTCGACCTGCGAAGTCGACCGACGGCGAAAGCACCGATTTGGGCGATGAATCGTGCGAAACGTGCGTGAGAAGTCGACCGGACCGATTGTGCCTGTCAAAAAGAAAGGAATCCAGGAAAGTATTGTTTGTTGCATGCTTTGTTTGCATGTGTTTTTTTTTTCTGGAAGTGTGTGAATGTTCCTGCGGTTGGCGGGCTTCTTGGTCACGTGTCCTCTTCCAAACATTGTTGTTGCATACACTGGTAGTATTGATGAATTGCATAGGACTCCTTTGGCGTGATGCCATGTTGCACAATGCAGCATACCTTGATGCCCAAATTCAACAATCTCCCAGTCATCTATTTGAAGCATCGTCAACTAGGTGACTACGAAAACTCCACCCAAGTGCCATCCTGCCTTCGGGTTTCTCTTCCTTCCGAGACCAGCGAGTGGCCCGCGGCTTGGCGTCTGGCCGCGGGTTGGCAACTGGGACGATTTCTGTGCAGTAGGAGTCTAGGAGGAGTCAATAACCATCCGGCGTTATCATACTCGTTCAATATACAGTTAAGATGTTAAGATCAGGTAAAGAAAAAAAGTCATAAGGCTGACCTACAAGCCTATAAGTGTGTCCTCCTAAAGTCACCCTTCTTGGATCTTGGACTCCCCTCCTCCCAGGTGCGATGCAACTCCCAGCCTGGTAGCGACGCGAAGAAGTCACCCGTCGGGGTACACATCACCCGCTGTGCCGTGGGCGAGCCACTGCGCTCCGCTGCGCGGGGCTTAGATGCATGGCGGTCCGGTGTGAAGGTGTTCTGAGTGAGCTATGGTGAGCTCTGCAGGCTTTGGTTGCACCAGACAGTCTGGCCCTTGTGGGTGCACATTGCGTGGCACCTTCCCCTTCTTTGCCCTTTTCTGTTCGATGTTCTTCCAAATGTCACTTCTCAAGTGCCTCAGCATGGCATGGCACTCCATGCAGTCCAGTGTCCTGTTGCGATCGGCTTGTTTCCGCGTCACGTGATGCACAGCGATGGATGTTTTTCTACGTGTCAGCTGGCCACGAAGGGGCCTTGTTCCTCCCATTTCCAAGTTGGGTTGGATCCTGAAACATCTATAGCTCATGTATATATATATATATATGCTAATGCTGATCATTGATTGCAAACACATGTTACATGTCTCATTATGTCTCTACAAAAATAATTATTGCATCTCATGTTTCTGTTTGTGGCTTCAAAGGCCAATGCCTTGTCAACATGACCAGCACATACTTCTGCTGGCCCTGACAGACCAGCTTTGAGCCAACGCGGCAAAGAGCTTTTGACTCAAGCCCCGAAACATGCAGAGCCTCAAATGTCACCAAGGGTGACATGTCTCTTCCGTGGCTACTCCCCTGACTGCTGAACATGCAATGTCACCCACCCACAGCCTCCTGCAAAAGAAGCATTTTCGGTCAACATGTTGTAGGCTGCCCTCAAAATGGTGAGAGCAACGCCTCTGGGGCAAGGGGATGCTGGGACACGAATGGACCCTGGTGGCAAGCTGTCTTGGATTTCGGTGCCACGGTCATTTAACATTGGATCAATATAATCCAGATGAACGCGCCAAAGCAAATTATAGATGAACCATGACATACCATGACCCATGAGCAAGATGTTTGCTCAACCAGATGATTCCTTTGTGCTAGCTGCTAGAGGTGGAGCGTTGGCCGGTCATTTTCGCCCGAACGCGTTCTTCGCCCGCTGCTAAGCGGGCGGGTAACCCGGCCGGGGGAACCCCCACACTGCTGGAGGAGGTGCAGGTCACCTGAGAAGGAGGTTGAAGGTGTTGGTGAAAATCTCGGTCATCATCAACAACACCTTGTTGTTGGAGGAAATTTTCCAACAACAACAACAACATCCTTCATCCAGAGAAGGAATATGATACCATCTGTGTTTGAGCCTTTTGATCAGTTCCCAGCACATTGAACCCCTAGAAGCGTTTCGGAATCTGAAGCAACTGAAGGAAAGGCAGAAAGCTGGTGGCAAAGTGACTTCCGGCAGAAGCACTGCATATGCCCAAACACGTCCCAGAGCCAGAAATATTGATTGGGATGGATTGCACTGACGCACATGGGTTAAAAACCAATGAGCACTGCTCTGAATGGCCCAGTATGTCACTGAATGAAGCGTTGTCCTGTTGGTTATATATGCCCAACTAAAAACCACCCCGAACTGATCGGCTTAGATATGCCAGTCCCAAGTGCAGGTCAGGTCTGGGAGAAGAGACGCTCGCAGTGCAGAAAGTGCGTCCCAAGTCCGGACCGGCTTCGGTGAACATGTTGTAGATTGAATTGTGTTGATATCTACAAAATATATACACTGTATCTCACTGTATCTAAGTATACAATTCACTGTTTTGAACATAATTGTGAACATATAATACACTGTATCTCATCAAAATTATATACCCTAGGGCTCCAAGGACCTTAGAAGGTGGGACTGGGGTGGGTTTAGCGGGTCTAAATACCTTCGAAGGAGGTAGTTGGAGCCCTAGGGATAAGATAATATGTATTAATATGTATATTTGGCCTATCAATGGACCCTCGGACCATCTTCCACCCAAGCACCGGTTGGCCATTCGGGGTCCGCCATACTGTTGGACCTCGCCATCCAGACGCTCCGAAACGAATCCTGCCCCCCAGTCCCACACATCTTCATCAATCCCCAAAATGATCACTTTTTTGGAGGAGGATGCTGAGAGGGACTCTGAGAAGGACCTGGCATGTTGAAGGGTTTGGTGAGCGTGCTCAACGGGTCGCGCTGCTTCCCGAGCGACCCCCAGGCCTCATTTGGCAGCTCCGAAGCCTCCACTGGCCGCACCCTGCTCGGGGAGCGTTGACGTCGAGGTCTGCGCGCGCCCCGCCATCTTCGCCGTGTGGCCGATATTGCAAAGGGATACCCATCGGTGAAGACAGGATGAAAAAAAAGGATACACATACCTTGCACGGATTCACAACTTTTGATTGGATGAGATTGGATGCATGTCTTAGGCTGGCCGGTTGACTCTTCAATCCGACCTGCGGCAGCACTCTCCCAAGCCAAACATCCGAGCATTCTGCTAAACATATGCAAACATCCCCTTTCTATCAGCAGTCTTTACTATAGAGCAGTCGTAGTCGCTTGGGACGGAAGCCTGTATGTCAAGGAAGCTACATCCTAGGCCTGGCAAATGCGAGGTGAACACGAAAACAAAACTGACGTATATCATATATACCCACAGACCATCTTCTTATTACATGTAAAACAAGTGCACTTTGAATATCTTGTTTAACCTGCAAAATAGATCAACATATCACATCAAGTGATGAAGTCGACTTCTGTGGACCACCCAGTCATCCAAGTGAAACACAAATCCAAAAACTAGAGGCGACACCAGTCAAGGACGCAAGACCAATGTGGAACTTGCCAAACCATGATTCATGAGAAAAATGCGTACCCATTACTTCCATGATGCCTATCCTGTACTACATTACTCATTTTGGATCTCCAATCCCCGGACCCCCACGATGTTCCACGAGTCCAGCTCCCACCAACGCGGAGTCGTTTTACGCTTAAACGCATGCCTGGCCCTTAGGCATTTTGCCCTTGAAGCCATCCAGGTCCTGACATGGGACAATTGCTTAAACGAATTGTTTGTGGAAAAAGGTGGAAGATCGTACTCTGCCCATTTCTTGCATGGCCGGCATCCTCCTTCTGAGGAAGGGTTGCATCTTCAACACAGTTTGCGTGTGAGCTTCCGGGGTTGAGCAAAATATCTATAGTTCCATGTGAGATCATGAGACGTTGCTGCCGAAACCCACGCACACAAGGATGGCTTTGGCCATCCCTCCTTACAGTTTGCATGGTTTCGTGTCGTGTCGACCTCAATTGCATACACTCCAGCGACAGAAGGCTGCCAGCTGAAACCCCACCCGAATCCAAATAGATCCAAGCAATGTTTTTTTCCAAGTGTTGAACACCCGCCCTCAGGCCACCCTAAGTTTGCGAACAGAAACTGGTCCACTTGCACAGGCTTGCGAATCTCTGAAATGCTCTCAAGGTGAACAAATATCATGCAAGTATCATTTAGTGGTCGCTGAAAGTCGAAGCTCGGTTGGGCCATCAAATCAGAGCTTGGTTCTTCAAATCAGAGGAAGCACCGAAAGCACCTGTGGATATATAACTCCAGTCGGCCGTATTCGTTTCTAAAATACACAATGGATGATGAACAACTGTGATGGTAAAAAACTCATATTAAAACATGTTGAAATGTCCACATGTGTTTGTCCACCAGGTTCATCCTGTCTTCCAATTTTCAGACATCTTCAGCTGCTCCGACCCTCAAGTGAACACCTGCGCATATAGACCCCGCGGTCTCTCCACGCTCCTTGGATTGGTAGAAGTGGGGAGCCACCTGTGGGCAACACTGGGCAGCACTCCGCATGGAATGGGCGCATCTGTTTGGGACACCGTTGCGACCGGGTTTTGGGCCCATGAACGGGTGCCTCAAAGGTCCCCAATACTGGTCTCCCCATCCGAAGGATGTGTTGGTCCATTTGGGGGGACCTTTTTTCAATATCTCAAACATGTGCAAGAGGGGAACCACATATAAAAGAACAAATTAATCATTAATGAGCACAAGGTTTGAAGCAAGCGGAGTTCTGTGTTAGTTAACCGGAGTGGGTTGCGTTCTTTCCTAAAACCAATAGAAGAAATCCTTTGGATTTGAAACTAAACAAATTGACGGCAACTACCCTATGAACGATTCTTGCAAGCACCGGTTGATCGCAAGTCATTAATTTCTGAAACATGTTCAGCTACAACAGCCGCGTGCGCACGCTTGTCACATTGGGTTGGTTCCCTATACTCCACAAAAGCCCAAATGTCCCTCAAAAGATTCTGGCCACTTCTGCTACGGTTGATGTGGCGCCCTCTAATTTTATTAACGTTGCCTTGATCGGAACATAATACAATGTATCGCCTCTATCACCCTTAAAATTACGGATAAAAATATAGTCTTATACCTCTGAATGCGGCCACTAGCTGGGGGTCTCTTCATAGTACCCTTGCCCCCGATATTTTGGATTGTTCAATGTGTGATTACCCAGATATCTCACTTTCGTGCACTGCTTGATTCTTGGCAAGCATATGATGCGGTGCGGTTTGGCGCTGCATTCAAGGAAAACGCTTCTCATGAAGGATGCGCCTAGCCACCCGCAGGGATAGGTTTTGCTTCCATCGGGTTCGTCTGTTGAGGCCATGTGCTTGTTAAAGGTGAACACATGATGGGTTTCGTTAAATGCAGGGACATGTGTTGAGTGGTCAAGCTATTCAGTTGCTGTGCCGTGACATTTGGATGTAGTGGCATTGACTACGTGGTTCAGCTCGGCCCAGCAGGGTCGGCTCGTCAGCCCAGCAGGGTCTCGCAACGATGCACACCGAGGACACAACGATGCAGGGAAAGGAGTCGAAGCTTTGAACCTCTGCGTGGAACCTCTGCTTCGAACCTCTACCCTGCGCCTTTGAGGAGGCCAAAAGCAAATCAGAAAAAAGAGTGGCCTTGCCAATCCCTGATGAGTGCACTGAAGAAACTCTGAGATCTTATCAGCGCTGCTGAACCGTGAGTGTGATCGGTATGCTGGATTGTTTCCTGCACGCGGCTTGGTAGTTATCGGTTTCAGATTGTCTCATGAGTTTGCCAACATGTTTTGCTTATTAAAGGTTCTGAGAAACGTGTATCAATTGCACCGTGTTTTATTAAGGGTCCGGTATTGTAACCTAGGGTCACTAACGAGTTGGCTCAAATCAAAAAGCAATATCCTGTTTCAAAAATCATCGGACCAAGTCCGGTGAAGCTGGAAAAATGGCTGTCCTTCATTCTGGGCCCAGTGATTTGCAATCACATCTAGACACACATCAATACTTCACCTCAACCATGTACATGTACACTCTGCAAAACTTGCTCAACCAGTCATTGAAGCGCACTAAGGTGTTAACAAAAGGCTGCTGACACTTATCTTGTTGCATGATCGCTGAAGTTGCGTTCCTCCTGCAGCTTCCACTTTTGATTCCGGTTCACCTCTCAAACAAATGTAAGGTCATGCATCAATCCGCCAACTACGTTTGTAAGGCGTGGGGGTTAGAGGATGGAGAATAGATTTGGCCAAAGGGCGTGGCCCAATGAATGCGTCCGATAGCCTTCTTGATGGCTTTCACTGAGAAAGCCTCACCTTGCCCGCTTGCTGGGCCACTATGAAGTTTGTAGCCGCTGTTTGCAGGATTATGGTGTCGAAGAGTCTTTTCATCCAAAGTGGACGCATCCTTCTTTGTAGGAGATATATAGGCTACGCTCTGCAGGGGCCTCAGCCATCTGTGTGGGGTCGGGTGCCCAATTCCGCGGTCCGCAGCAAAAGCAAGCCTCTGGCGCCTCTGGCGCCTCTGGTGCGAAGCCTCTGACGCGACGCTGGAGCGTCTCGCCAGGCAGCCTGCTTCAACTCCAACAATTGCTTCTGGATGCCCAGGTTCTGGACTAGGACTGGCGGCCCAAAAGAACTGAGTGTCTTCTTCCTCTTGACTTCATGCGCGCCGATGCTGGCGGACGGAACAAGCCTGATGGTTCAGCTCGATCCGAGGGCTTCCTGGTGGGAAAAGTCGTGGTTAGAAGATGTTAGAAGTTTGATACCTGATTTGTTCCCGTTCTCAGTGCAAGGGTGCTTCATTTCGGCCATGGCTGACTGATCCCCTCGTCTCCACGTCTCCATGCCTCGCTCACCAGAGTGGGGCGACATCGCTCCAAAGAGCTCCCAGGCCCCTCTGTGCACGCTCTCTTCGAGAGTCCCAACCCAATCCACGGAGGACTTCCCGACGCGGTGTACGAACGACCCGAAACGAAACCCGACGCGGTGTCTCGCCTCCAAGAGCCACTCCGGCTTCACTTCGATGCACTGGCGACAGGCGCGGCGAGCAAGTCGAGGGCCGGACCGAACTCGGAAGCTCCTGGTGGAGTTCGGAAGAAAAAGGCACTCGAACTCGACTGGTCTTCTTCTGTGCGTCTGGTTGTTCATCGACCTTTTTGGGCTGATGCGCTTCATCCACTGAAGAAGACGTTCTTGGACGTTTGGTGACCTCCAAATGGGTTGGATCCTCCCAACGTATCAAATGCAAAGAGACGGATGATGGCAAGTTCCGGAGATGTTTCACCTACCCACTTGCAGTCCCCAAACGCGACGCAAAATTGGTTGTGCTTACTTTCAGGTCTCTTTTGTCTGAGGAAGTTGAAAGTGGATCCTGGAAGTTAAACCATCTGCGGGGGTTTCGGCTAGATCTGTGGTTTTGAGCGGTGAAGGAGAGCGGATAGACCAAAGGGATCATCCTTGTCTACCTGCTAAATTGGGTTGAAACAAAGCGAAACATATCACAGAAACTGGGAGAAAATTCCAATTCATCCTTTAACAGAACGGGTGTTCTCGTTGATACGGCTGCAAATAGAACTTAGCAAAACTACACCGGATAGTAACAACCCCCAACTGCATTAGCGAGCCGGTGTGTCTGCTTTAGCAAGCTAGTGCGGTTCCGACAAGTCTGGGTGTGTCCGACACCACGCATGAACTCTTTGGTGGTGAGCACCAGCTCGTGGTAGCAAACCTCAGATTCGGATGTTTGGACAAGTCAGGGCATCAGACCGAGGGATGGACGAATAGATGGCATGTTCTGCACGTCCAGACCGAAGGACTCTGCAGAATGGATCCCAACTGACTGATGAACCGGTAGATCTGCTGTTGCCTTAAATCTGGCCCTTGTGACCTCCCACGTGCACCTACCAAGCGATGGAGGTCAAAAGGACTATTGGTCAGGCTATTGTAGTGAACCACCATTGCGAAGGTGAAGATTAGTGTTCTGTGAAGTTCAGGAGGTCATCACCCTCTGAGGCAACCGGCCAATCGCGGCTGCTGGCCGAACAAGGAGGAGGTTGGATGAATCTCCACCTCAGGTCTTGTGGAAACATGAGCCGTATTTTCGCCATGAAGGGTGTGGAATCACCACCCTGGCCCCACCGTTCCCTGGTCGAAAGTGTGAGAGTGTGGCCCGATAAAGCAGGTGGTTGGATTGGGTCTCTCAAGTCTTTGCGCAGAACATCTCAGGCTGAGTTCTCCAGCAGTGTGAGGATGCTTCACAGTGACATAAGACCTGCCGGTCGCGTGAGGCGGACGAGAGATCCTGAAGAGGGCATGCAGTACATGGACAGGTACAGTAGCTCAGAATCATTCCAGCCACACTGGTGAGTCGAGCAGTTCACTTAGATTTGCAGTAGGCCTCTTATGATGCTTTTTTTCCGACATGTCGACATGCTTTCGGAAAGAGTGACATCACAAACCCTCAAGGTGAAATCATCTACAGAGACACACAACCAACCGAGACTGCTGCACTTTTGATGCCTCACAAAGTCACACAAGGCTGGCGGTATGAAACACAGGTGGCACACATTACACTTGTGCATCCAAATACAGTATATGTTTCTTCAGGCGGCGGTGGGTCAAACCGGGACACCGTGGCTGACCACCGAAAATGAACAGAATAGACTATCAGAGAGATTCCCACCTCTCTGTCTCCGCGCAACAAAACTGCCTCGATGCGAGGCAGTGATTGTCTCCATCCTCCCGCGTCACTTCTCGGCCACCAAACCCATCTTTTCGGAGTCGAGCTGTGTTGTAGAAGAAGCCGGAGAGGATGGATTTTCTTTGACCTCGCAATCAAATGCCACACACTCTACAAATCCCTAGAATGTCAGCACGGTGGGAGGACTCCCGGAAGATGGGTCGGATTCCTTTTAGCACGTGGTCTTTGCACTAATAAAGCCCACCTGCAAGACTGCTACTTTCATAACTCCGATGTTTCTCTTTCCTGAAGGCAGAACTAGAAAGTGATATAGGGTCCCCTCTAATCCCTCTACACATAATTATAATACCTTCGAAGTTTGCTTGACCCATCAAACTGAACAGAGCACTGACATCCCCAGAACATGGGCAAACCGATCCCATGACACATGGATTATTGGATGTTTTTCTTTTACTGGCATAGGCCTTAGGCCCTTGGGGATCTTGGGGAACCCGGAGGTGTGAGTTCAACATGGTTCAACATATTTTATGCTTCTGGTTTGCTGAGCCGAAGCCCAGAAGCTGTCCCAAGAAGCCCACCCACCCAAACGTCAAACCAAAACCACCTGTTCTTCTTGCGGCCCCCCACCATCCACGTCGTTCACGTTGGACGAGTGTTCGATCTCCACCTCGCACGGGCGAAGGGGGTTCCCTCGAATGAATCGCCAGCAGCCCTCGGTGACAACGAAATGAGGTTGATGGTTTTGGTCGATCTATTCGGAAGAACTGGTGACCTGTAGAATGGATTGCCTGGATCAACGATACATACTGTGGATGACCGAAATCCGGGCAATCGCCTGCCGCACACCCACCGGTATTTCCCCGGTCCGGTATTGGGTGAACTCACAGCCATGGACCGTTCAAGAACCAGACAAAGAGTCGCTGCAGCTCGCGGCTTGGGACCAATTCCGAGTAGAAACCGGAAGAATCATGAGCTGAAAGACATCTAACCCCCTATTTCGGCCAAAAGGTTCTTGGAAACAGTGGTCCTTAAATGTTGAACAAGCTAGATAATATACTTAAAATGGGACAAAGGGTTTGCGTCGCGAGTGGAGCTGTTGTTGGGAACACGGATATGGCAGACGCGTATCGTTACATATCACAACTGGATTTTGACTTTGAGTTCTTGAAGGCGAGTCTGGCCCTAAAAACGTTGACACTGACACTGGGGCGACAGTGGTGGAACATCAAAAATCCTTCCTCTACAGTGACCTCATGCTGTCAGCCTCTTCAACCGGATTTTCAGTGACCAAAGATTCTTCTCCTTTGACTGGCACTCATAAAGCAAGGATTCCTCAGGATTCATCCGTGCAAGTAACAAGAACATTCTGAATTGAGATATAGACACTATGCACACTATCAGGTATGGCTTTGTACTTGAGAAACCAACCAACGCCTTTTTTCTGCACGACTGGACGGTGCTTTTTCGCGCCACGTGCTACGCCCATCGCTATGGCGTGGGAACTGGCGCTTCTTTTGAAACTCAAGCGAAGGCACCTGGGTTTGAGATCGGAAGGGTGAACGATGCCAGGCGGTTTAGCTAGCAGGCAAGCCAGGGAGAATTCAAGAGCTCAATGATACCTTTCGTGCTTTGTTTGTGGATGTCTGACTCCTCTCCAGCTATCTCAAAAAAACAAACCACTCAACCGGCTTTGCCAAGCTGCACACGATGTGTGTAGAAATATATGTTTATATATATATAAATATATTATAATATATAATCAAATCCGTGGTTATTCTGTCGATGCCTTTGAAAGCATGCCTCCCCAGTGAACATGCTGCTCAACACCCCCAAGCTGGGCAGCTAGGATATAACGACCAATCACACAATCACTCAGTTGTCGGGTCCCAAATCCAACCGAATCTTCGGTTGATTCCGGCTCCAGTTGATCACACCTCCTGTCGAGCCTCCACCAAATTGAGCAGACCATCAGACTGGACTCCTCCAATCTGGTGTGCTCCTTCCGGTTGAGACTCGCCAGAACACGTGATCAGCTCGGCTCACTGAACGGCTGAAATACCTTCCGTGTCGGCGCAGCTCAATCTCAGCATCTCGGCACGGAAGACGGCGACCAATCTTAGCATGGGTGGATCACACCGCAAGCACATGTGCTGCTCACTTTGTGCTGCAAGTGACCTCCAACAACCTCAAGGCTTGCTGTCAAATGCTCACCGTGTTTGCCGGTACGAGTATAGTCACATTCATGAACCAATCACATCTGGCTCAATACGAACAATCTCAGCGCTTGCTGCCATTGCCCGCTCTTTTCGCAGGCACTGATGGCCACATTGTAGCTAATCACATCGCGCTTAATGCTGGCCTTGGGCATGGCCTCCAACAACCTCAAAGCTCGATGCCATTGACGCCCCTTATCACAAGCACTGATGGTCGCATTGTAACTGCTCACATTGGGCTTCAAGTTGGCCTTGAGCATGACCTCAAACAACCTCAAGGATTGCTGCCATTGCTCGCCCTTTTCACAGGCACTGATGGTCGCATTGTAGCTAATCACATCCCGCGGAATGTTGGCCTTGGGCATGGCATCAAACAACATCAAGGCTTGATGCCATTGCCAACAGTTTTCACAAGCACTGATGGCCGCACTGTAGCTAATCACATTGGGCTGAAGGTCAGCCCTGGGTATGAACGCCAACAACATCAATGCTTGCTGCCATTGACGCCCCTTTTCACAGGCACTCATGGTGGCATTGTAACTAATTACATTGGGCTGAATGTTGGCCTCGGGCATGGCATCAAAGAATCTCAAGGCTTGCTGCCATTGCCCGCCCTTTTCACAGGCACTGAT